GTGGTAACGTCTAGGAGTATGATAAACGAAATCTCGCTTATAACCACTGGACTTGAGTCACCGAAGGGCTCCATGGACTTCGTCCATTCTGAAACAGCTCGATGACAGCCGCACGCTTCAACTTGAAGGCGTCCATAACGCAAAACGTAAAGCAGCACGATATGAAAATTCTGGCCTATATATATGCACGCATGCATACAGGTTGGTGGGAAAAACGGGCCAATACGATCCGTCAGCTCCGTCCCCTCGCGCGCGTGGCACTCGGAAAGCGGTAAACAAAGACGGCATGCGAGTCGCGCTCAGTATGAATTCGTTCCATCTGCATGTTTCATAGCCAAGTAGTCACTCGCCTTTTTGTTCAATCCTTCCTTATTATGGGAGTTTGTAGGTTGACCAAGGCACCGATGAAACGAATTACTTTTGTGGCTGATGGTCCGAGATTATAAGAAAAACGGCGTAGGATGACGTAGGTTCTCATCCTCTGAATGATGTTCGACGTGAATTCGGGCTTAGAAAACTGGAGCTTGCCTCAAAGGAATGGTGGCACGTTGACAGACTCCCTGGGGCAATAAATCATGGATTGTGAAGCCCTTGTCCAGTATCAGATCTCCAGCATGAAACACGTGAATCACTCAACGTTTCTGCACAATTGCACGATCACTGATGTTACCCGTGTAGGCTTCACAAATGAAGGTCACCGTCCCAGAAGGAGAACACCAATCAATAATTTAAAAATATTTCGGAATTTATAATTGCTATAAGTGACCCCCGTTGAGCATCTAGGCTGAATCTTGGTATGACAATTTCAATATCAGAACAATTATCATACGACAACTGGAGAAGGAAGCAAAGGCATGGGGCCTCTTCAGGTGATTTTTCATCAGGGTTGGGACATTATTCTCCATCATTCCCATGTAAAGTACCTCGTACAAGACATTCAGGTACGTCATGAAGACATTCTTCATGATATTCGATTCCTCGACTCACGCGGAAACGATGCTTTAAATCCTCGTCAGGGGTAGAGAAGAAAATAGCTGTTCTTCGGGACTTTTTTGGAAAATGTATCTTTCCCATATCATGAAATAAGTGAGTTTCAATCAATACTCGAGTTACTTTCCTGGCCATAGCTTCTACATATTTTTAATAGGATAGGAAAACCCCTGCCATCGATGTGGCAGAAAATGAGAGGGAAAGGGACACAAACAGATGGGAAGATGAGATTTCATGAATTGAGGAAGAGAGTCAGTTGGAGGATGAAAAAAACTAGGAAATTATATATACTGTATACACAATATATATATTGGGTCCCGCGGCTGTGTTTATCCCATAATATCGGGAGCCAATGTCAGCACGATGAGGGCGGGGCTCCCTGACGGACCGTAAAACATAATGGGATGACTCTTGAGGTCTTTAACCCTAAATTGAAAATTTGTGTGACATTATGGCTCACCCGGTAGAAATTGAAGACGCTGAAAATTGTACATAGTGTAACGGTTCATATAAGTAAATGGAAGCCCATCTTGTCATTCGAGGCAGGCGTCAGCTTAACACTGACTTTTTCAATTCACCTCGTGGATATCTTTGAACATGGGATGGCTTGGCGGGAGGCCCGAGAAGGCTTCTGTAGGCAGTACGCAAGGGACTTCTTATCTTTCCGCATTGTGCCCTCGCATTACCCAAACTGGCTCTGTGAATTCAACGTCAACTCAAGGAGCAGAGATCCCCCTGTGCAAAAGACCCGTCCCGCCCTCAATAAACCCGATATATAGACAAAGAACGCTGACTGGTACTGTTTTTTATATCAAACTTCCACAGAGAAACCGCGCCACCGTGGCTCAGTGGAGAGGGGCTCGGGCGCACGCGGGAGGTCCAGGTTCGAATCCGACCGGCGGCTGCTTTCACCCGGCTGCTTTCGGGTACTACCTGGCGGCCTGATGTGCAGCCGGAGAGGCATCGAAGTTGCCACCACCTTCTCCGGACCCATGAAAACGAGATACATCATGACAGGAAGCGTGGGAAGGTGGGGCAATGCCGTCAGGGATGTCCAATTAGAATTCCCTTTATGCGCGCCCGTCGAAATTCGCCCGCGAGAGACAAACTGGACAAGGGACACCTGATTCTGAAAATGCAAAATTATTGGAAATATTTCCTTCCAAGAAAAAACCAGGAAATTTGAATCCATACTTGCACAAAGGGATACTGCCTGTACCCTTTTCCTCCAGAGGATAATCATCGGAAAGAATAACGTAAACACTGGGTGAGCCCAATTGCCAATCTGTCACATGCCCCCTACCTCATGCATAAAATTATCCTTTAGGAGACACTTAATCCTTTCACGCATGCTGTCCACTATGGGGGCCGGCAAAATTTTTGGCGATTATGATTTTTTTTTTTGCCATGGTACACATACATCGAAACTTTCGGAGTATGCAGTCAACTCAAGGGCACATAATCTCTGCAGTGTTGCTTTCTTGCGGTGAAACATGCGACTACTACAGCAGAGTACCTCCTTAAACGTTAAGCCAAAAAAGGCATATTTTTCTTTTGCTCGAAAAATTCATACGCGAAAGGATTAACCACACAACTAGGAAATATCCGTTAACCCATTCGCGTACCAAACCGTCTCCGAGGCGACCTCAGTAGAAGTGTCCAGCCCGTACCTAACCGTCTGCCAGACGGGTTCGTACAGAGGTCTGTTATCGATAGAGTGGCTTGTTAGTCAATGGTATGGTCGTTAGATGGCATGATATGCCTTCGTTAAGGATCTAGTAATCTAGTTTTCGCAAATTAAATGGTATTTCACAGCAACTCTAAGTAAGAAAAAATAGAATGCGAATGGGTTAATATATCAAATATCTGAAAGCAACCTCTGAAAACCATTGGATTCATTCTCAACCGAAGCGAAAAGAGCGAAGTTCAGTCTGACAGTTGACTCCTGCCCAGAATCGCAGATGAGAGGCCAGAGTCTAGAGGCCTCCTCTAGCTCATAGACAATGCATGAAGTATCAAGTAGCACACGCTTTACAATGGAATACAAGAGCGGAAGGCTAGTATCATTCTCTGTATTGCGCATGAGCGCGTGCAAGCCAGCAAGCGATGGCACATCTCGGGCGTGTCTTTTTTGCTAGCGGCTCAGCTAGCTCTGCTGAGGCCCCCCAGCATCCGATGACGTCATTAGAGCATGGTTAATTAATCATATTTTTAGAAAAAGTGATGAATGATGAAATTTTCTTATTAATCAATGATTAACTGATTAAAAATGACTAAAAATGAAATACTCCTGAAATGGGTAAAAATGTCAATGAAACGCAAAACAAAATGTACAGTAGTTCGCACTTCGTACCACTGCAAAAACTCCTCCCTCATGTGCCACTCCAACAATTAAAAACAATTTAATAAAGCCACCAAATTTTGAGAGCCTAGGCCCTAGATCACAAGTATTAGAATTTAGCTTACCTGAGGCCTAAGTTCCTCTATTTAGGCTAGGCCTATCTGTCTATATCCTACTAACCTATACTAATAAGTAACCAATGAGATTATAACACTGCACTTGATTAATTTCATACAATATAAGTTTAATTCAAAAGAGTACAGATAAATATATTTCACAGAAATCACACGAGAAACCTTGGACACACCCACCCACTTATCTGCAGCTTGCGAGTTGCGACCACCGACTGCAAACGAATAACATTTGAGCGGGAAATTCAAAGAAAGCTAATATTGAAATACGAGGTATGGGTGGGGGAACTGTTCTGGGAAATGCACCGAATAAATTGTTGGTACAAATTCAAATGCCACATTACATAATTTATGGGAAAATGATGCTGAAATTATGGGAAAATTAATCATTTTTCATCATTTTCTAAAAATGCTTTTGATTAATTAATGATTAAATTCGAAAAAATGATTAACTGATTAATTGATTAATCAAACCATGCCCTAGACGTCATTTTAAGGCTTAGCTGCTCAGCGTTCTCATAGTTCGCTATGTTCCGCTCGCAGCTGCTTGCCAAATAGTGACGTCATTCAATGACGTGGTCGTGCCAAACCAACACGTCTTTTTCACCAGTAGCTGCTAGCGGCTGGAGAAAAAGACGCGCCCCTTGAGACCTTTTGCCTCAAGTAGAGAGTTGTTCGGTCATCAGAACTTGCTTTGACAATCTATCCACGTAGTTGCAAAGGATAAAAAGTCACAAGATATATTCTACATAATAATATATGCTATGTGAGAAATGTGCACTTTTGTTTCGGGGAAGTTCTGAAACTCGCAAGGGGAAGAAGTCGTCAGATCGATACTTTTCTCCGAGGACTGAATGCACGTAAACTCTTTACCAAGTGTTCAATGAAGTATTAATTTTCCCTCTGCTTCCATTTCGATTCAATTTACACTGCCAGCATGTTCTCGTCCAGTCTTTCATTTTCTATCTCCCACTTCACGAAGTGCAACTCATCAATTGACCTTAACACACCATTTGTGCTTCATGCTCCTATTAATACTACAATGAATTCTTGTTCATTATGAAGATCATGGGCTGGTCTCCCCAGATTTTTCTGTCCACGAGCCGCCACTGCAGTGAACCCTTCGTGATTAATATGAAGTCCTATTCAAAACTGGGGGATGGGCACCTATTCCCAACACGTCCAACCTGAATGCACCTTGTTTTGAGCTACTTGTAGACTATGCATGAGTTCCACAAATGTATGATTCCAAAGAAACATTGAGTGATGGAGAAGCATTAGGCAAGACCATCCATCCTTCATTCCCTCACAGTCCTGTTCAGATTCCTGCAAAATTTGTCATGAACTGTAAATTGAATCAAAGAAGAATGAAAGATTTTGATTTTATAGAATCTGCAAATATGATCAAGGTATGTAAATCTGAATGATGAAAGGAGAATGAAAGGGGCTATGTTCACTTGTGAATAAGATCAGTGAGTGTTCTGTTTTTTGCTCCTTTTTTTAAATGGAATATTCAAGGATGTTAGGGAGGGACTCACACAAGGAAAGCTCCCAGGCCAGTGATAAGGGCATGAGTGCAAGATGTGGCAATGTTCTTCCACTTCCATGCTTGTCTTGTTGTGTGGTTGGCTGAAGCAGGGACACAGTGATGGAATAACAATGTAAAGCAGCAAAATATGAGGACACCAAACAAAATCCACAATAGACCAAATATCATGTAAGCATCCTTCTCTATCACATCCATCTCCATTTCTGAATGCTCAGCAATGCCTCCAAAAATCCATACAAACAAACCTTGGATGCAAAAAAAGGCTATGTTAGGGCAAAGGAATATTGAAAACACAATGTTATCATTAGAGTTCAACACTTTTTCATTTGCCTATTCTTAAGAATAGGGTATGACTGTAGTAGACATAAAAAGAAACAGGAACTGCCACCAAAGTGCACAATTGGCTTCCTAAACATAGTACCATTAGCACTCCAGCATAGTTACTCCTGTTGCAAGCCTGCATTACCTGAGGATGAGAGAGATGAAGCTGACAAGCAATAATATTTCTAGAATTCCACAACTTCATGAAACTTATCCCCCTACCAATAGTCACCAAATTGGATCCATGATCCTGCTTCCTTTCTCTACTAAGATTCATGCCTTAATAGCCCATTACAAAGAGAAGCTATCATCACCTGAGCATGCCATGTGCTTGTATTCAATGATTCTCCCACCATATTGCAATTTTAAGTAAAATAAAGCAAGGGGGAGAGAATTTCCAACAAAATAAAATGAGAGAGTACTTCTGGGTTCCACTCATCCCAGTGGTGATGAAGAAACATAATTTGGTCACCCAGGAAGGAAAATAGAAATCCAGAAAACACTCGGGTGTGAACCTCTTCTTCTCCAAATTGAGAGATCACAATTACGATGGTATAGACACATGGTCAAGATGCCACAAAAGAGACTTGCAAGGCAAGTCCTTTCTGCTAAGCGAAAGGGAAAGAGACCAAGGGGCCAACCTAGGACTAGGTGGTCAGAATATACTGAAGACCTGGCATGGTCACATCTTGGAATCTACCCAGAAGAACCTGCCAAATTGGCAGAGGACCGGAGCCATTGGAAGACTCTCCTGAAGCTGCTGCCCCCGCAACCGGAAAGGAATAGCGGGCATTGAAGATGGATGGATAGATGGATGGATGGATGGAAGGAAAATATACTTTTCCATCCTAAATATATTTTAGGAAGTCACTATCACTCATTTGATACATGTCATCTCAAACTCCATCATCCTCCTTCATCTCATGCTCAAACTCCTCAAGTTCTGGGGGTCTCCATTTTCAAAAATGACAACAATATCTCTTCTGGGTTGTCATTGTCATCATCCATCACAAACTGTGATACCTAAATTTACACTTTGTATCTGACCAGCAATATACTAGGACTTAAATCAATTCTTGTCACGAATGGGGTAACTAAACACTGAGACAGTCGAGCATATTACTCATATTTTGTCCCAAAATTGGCAGTCAAGCATTTTCCTGTAAAATGCCAGAAAGTTGCATAAACTTTTTAAAATGATAATGAAGTAGTCAATTTAAGCAATATTTTATTCAAACTCTCAGGAAACCTTAATGAGTTATGCAATAAGGATACATAAAACATACAAACAAATGTTTTACAGTTCTGGCATAGGTACCAGACCAACAACTGTCAAAGAGTTAATTTCTTTTTTAAGAAGGGGCATAATATCTGTCTCAGCATAAGTAGGAAGTTACAAAAGGAGTATGCTCCTAACCCTCCAAGAATCAGTTCTAATCTCATCAAAAGATCCTTGACTTTGGTCCAAGGGGTTTTCATCTTGGATATCCCTTCTGAACTGTGGAAGGACACTCATCCTATCATGGCATGAAACATGTAGGTGTGTGAAATGTCAAAAGTTAATCAAGGCCAAAGATTGTGGTTTGCAATAGGAAAGAAACTTAGCAGTAGTATCGTGCAAATTATGCTGATCTGGCAGAAGTGCAGTACAAATTTATAATTGATCTCATGATCTTTTCCATTGGACCTATTGCGAATGCATACTCCTACTATTTTAAGAGATACTAGCATAAAAAGCTCTTCAGGCAAGTATCAAAGGTTTACAGGGCCCATCTACAAGTGGGTTTAATGGTATAATAACAATTCAAATCAAACAAAATTTAAGATGACACTATGCTAAATTAATATCATCACAGACAGGAACAAGGAAGCAATTGGTGAAAGCATAGGACTAAATGGCATACATGGGGAAGAAGTATAGTGATGTCCTAGAGAAAGTTCAATGTACTCAACAACAAAGTAAGGAGCTATTCAGAGAAAATAAAAAACTTAAAACTTAACTGTCTGCTCTGGAGGATCATTAGTAAACAATACAACATGAGATATTAGTAATTATTATTAATTTTTAAATCTCATATCCTCAAGACCTCACAAAAAAGGGCATGCCATAGATTCAGCAACCAGATGTCCTGGTGTTTGTTCCAGTTTTCAGCAAACATGTCCTGCTGCCCCAGTTTTCAAGGAACTTTACTTTGAAGACACAGCATCTCAGCTGCTTTCCTAGTCCCTCCCTCTTCACTCAGTCTCCTCTCAGTACATATTGAAATTGGCAGAGGAAGACTTGCTTACAGAAGATATTCCTGTTTTTGCTGGATAAAATTTGGTCACCCAAGCCTTATGGGGTGAATTTATGCAGTATTTCAATAGAAGTGAACAGAATGCCACTTATGTTAAAACCAAAGCCTGTCTCTTTTTCACCCTGGCTCAATCTAAGAGAAAAATTTATTTTTCAAATCTAAACTCATGCTGAGAGAAACAGTTATTATCTTGAAAGCCACAAATTTTTGCAGTTCAAGAGAATAACCTTAAGCTTAGATGGCTACAAAACCTACTAAAATGAGTGCAGTCTGGTTCTAAATTATCTCTAGAGCAACAGGACCCTTTATACTTAAACCTTGGCTACATCTTGGGAAATTCACCCTCGCTCCATATGCCTACCCACCTTCCCCTATCTTTTTTTCATGAAATCAAACTTCTGAGCTATGTGATTCTGTACAAATTGGTGGTCACACAAAGGTAAGAGGAACAAGCATATGGATAGCAATCTATTGGGACCTACTGAAGAAAAACTAACAAGAGGGAAAAAATCAAAAGGGCCTCTGCATCAGTATCTTAGTTTAACATAGAGCAAATTAAGCAATAAAAGATAGACAATATCAAAATTTTGGAAAGAGCAGCAATTACCACATTCGTCAGAAATAAAATAAAGCTTACAAATCTAACTTTGAAGCCTCACACGAAAATTAAAAGAAGTAATAAATGGTAAGGATATAGAGAGACCAAATCCCATGTTTACCATTGCAGATCCACTGCCCTGGATATACAGGGTGACCGGAAAGTTCGGAGACACCCAAAAATACCAACATCTTGATGCAATGAAGAGCAAGAAAACTTATTTTATTTCATTAGTAATAGCATTAAAAAAATTTTCAAAATGAGTTAAACATCTTTGAAATATCTCCCATTGGCAGCAATAACTTTTCTGAGGCATTTTGGAAAATTGTTCACAGTTTCTCACAGCTATTTTACAAGGATTTTGTCCCACCTCTTCAACAAAGCCACCTTGAGATTGCCCAAATTTTTATGCCTGATAGCACTGACCTGTGCCTCCAGAAAGGACCTGATACTGTAGTCCATTGGATTTAAATCAGGGGAGCAGAAGGGGCCAATCTTCTGGACCAATGAAACCTGGCATTTCAAGTTAATGTTTGGGACAAAATCCCTGTAAAGTAGCTGTGAGAAACTGTGAACAATTTTCCATAATGCCTCAGAAAAGTTATTGCTGCCAATGGGAGATAATTCAAAGATGTTTAACTCATTTTGAAGATTTTTTTTACGCTCTTTCTAATGAAATAAAGAAAAGTTTTCTTGCTCTTCATTGCATCAAGATGTTGGCATTTTTGAGTGTCTCTGAACTTTCTGGTCACCCTGTAGGTCTTTCTTGGAATAGGACAATCAATTGAATGAAGACACCAAGCATGTCACAGGTGCCAAGTGTGGTCATAATTTGTACAACCAGTCAGTCTTGATTCATTTAGTGTGCACAAAACAGGATCTTATGTACTTCAAGCTCTTATCTGATCTGGCAGCCTCACTTTGGACAAGACTAATCCCATTTTTTCTATAAATTCTGGAACTTGTCCTTTACTCCCAAGCTTAGGCATAATAATGTAAAAGTAACTGTGCATAAAGAGACTGTATGTAATGTATTATAGAAAGTATTATTGGTCCAATCCAAGATATGGGAGTAATCTTATTCAATTCCAAGACCATACTTCCATGTCTGCATGAAGATTTTATCATCTGCTGGATTAAATTCTGTCAGAATTTGATGTTGATGAGCAGTCTACATCGATTGTTGCAGCCAATTGCGCTTTGCTAATGGACGTAATTGCATGTCTGATCTCCATAGCCATGACAGAAAGACAATTAGCATTTCGCTGGAAAGAAGGCATATTAAAGAGGATTATTGTAATTTTATAATCACATAAATGTTATAATATCTCATGGGGACAGACATGATCATATAATGAAACAAGACCAAGAATGGTTCCACACCAACATGAAAAAGTAAAGTATAGATAACCCAACATTTCTCTAGCCTCCATGTGTGACTCTCACCAACAATGAGGGTAGCTCTCTTGCTGATAATACCACTTGTATAATTGTTTCTTGCCTGTGGGTGATGCATATGTCAGACCTTGAGTAGGACAAGCAAAGAAAGCTGTCCTAATTCCATTTAGATTGCATAGATAGGTCGAGCTAAGAGAGCTGTCCCAGTTCCATTTAGATTGACTAGTTCTATGCCAGCATCACCACAAAAAGCCACTTGATGAGGGCTTACTCAAGTTCAACTTTAGTCTATCACAGGCTTCCTATGCATATCATAGCTGAGATTCCATACCTAATTTTTGGTTTCATCACACAAGGCAGTAGCTACAGGTGGCAATATGTTTTGACCTAACACCCTCTATGTCAAGTACTCCAAGCTAAGCTCTGAGCTCATGCTTTCATAAATATGAGAATATGTATTTGTGATATTAAGGATCCAGAAAATCCTAGAAGCCTAGATATAAGACAAGGTCTATATGGCCTCTCATGCATGCTCTCTGTGTAAGGCAAAGTCGGGAATATCTCAAGTAACCCCTTCAGATGCAACCCTAATATGTTTGTTGATGAAACATTTTTGAGTAGACCTAATTATTGCTAATAAGGTAGTG